CGACGTGAGAACGGGATTTTCTTTTTCTTCACTTTCTATAGCGGTGATTGGGTTTGGGGAGGAAATCCTATGATTTTAGCTTTGATGTCGTGGCTTGTTGAATTCTGATTGGTTATTAAGGATGATATTTTCGTTTTAGTCACTCAAATCTACCTCAATCAGAATCTTCACATTAACATGTTCCCCTAAGCAAAGAGTAGCACCGTACAAAGATATTTAGTGGTATGCTCAATAACTACCCTAACATCCCTCAAACATGTTTACACTGGCGATCCGTGTCCAGTCTTGTTCAAACAGGCTCGTACAGACTGGACGGGGGCTAGATATTTGCATATCGGTCTCTTACATGTTTATTGAGGCGTCCATGAGATTATGTTGTTAATAAACTTCGGCTAAGACGTGATGGTCATTTTGGGTGATAGTTTTGATAAGGGTTTATTGAAAGTTTGTTGTTTTGGGTTGATCATTTGTCGGCTTATCATGGACCTGGCAAATAATTACTTGATCGCTCTTTGACATGGTATTTAACAGTAATTTTGTAGCAAGGCGAATAGTACTAACTTTAAGTAGGCCACATTCCCGATCCTATACAGTAAGGATATCAGGTATCACATTCAACCTCAAAAATAATCCACCTAGTATCACCGATAAGAATAAAATCTCACGTAAAGACAAAGAATAAGGAGGTATAATCCGGGTATCGCCGGGGTCCCGAAGCGTCCGTACGTGTACTCCGGATTAACCGGCAAATTGGTTTAAGCCAAAAGCCCGGATCACGCGGCGGGAGAATCAATCCCGATCGCAGGAGACGTGAGGGCAAGGATGGAAGCGGTTACAAATTGTACGATTTAAATAAGAAATACTAATCAATAACGCCACACATTACAAAAAGATACCAAAAGTGACATTTCCTAATAAAATGTCATTATTGGTGTCTTCAGTCCTTAATCTATATAAAAAGTTCTAAAATGGTTAGTAAAAAATATATTTTTAATATTAAATATGTATAGTGTAACAATATCAAAGACAAAGAAACTCACAAAGGAAATCAACTTCAAGACAATGTCTCCTCCTTACTTTCTTGGCACGTTTTCGATTCCAATAGATTCTAATAAGATTAGTGTTGTCACACGGGTGTTAGATAAAATAGTTTGTGGCCTATAATTGGGGTTCAGGTCGGCCCAATGGATGTCAAACATGGCCATTCCAAAACATACCCTACACCCCTCTAATCAGAGCGTAATTTGGTGCAAAAACATTTTCCATGGTCATCACTCGCATGACTAGACAATATCGACTTGGAAGGTGATTCCTCTGGATTGAATTGTGGAATTGGGCTTTTAGGGGGTTGAGTTTAGGTTGGTTTTTGACTGTGTAGGTCGTGGATAGTTTTCTCCGATCGACTCCCGTTTACAAATTGGATCGGTCGTCGGGTAAATCAGGGTTACCCAGTAATTGAGAGTTACAGGATCGTTCGGTTTGTGGGTAGGTCGACGCGGTTGAAGGATTAGCTTCTATTGCTATCTATCGATCTTGGGTTAATGTATGGGATTTGTGTTTGATTATGGGACATTATAGTGTTCTGTTTGTACAAGATGATGATGGAAAGCAACGATGGGTTGTTTTTTAAATCTATTCCTTTAAATCAGTGTTTTTCAATCTTTCTGATTTCGCGACCCCTTTACAAGTTGAGAAAATCTGGCGACCCCCTTGTGTCATAGAAAGACTAAGAACTAATAAAATTTAATTAAGACTACATACGTTAATGATTTTTTTTCTACTATTTTGGTACCTTTATCAATTATTCAGGTCTACTCTGCAAGAAGCTGCGAGAGTATTGAAAGTAAGTACGAGGTAAGTTGTTAAAGCTACGCGCGATATAACTCGTTGAGTACCGTCCGACCGGTGGTATCACCCAGGCCTGCACAATTGCGGCTTCCAGGAAAACCTCCCGGTCCAGCTGTCTCAGCGCCCAACGTGGATCATATGGGGCCTGTCTGACCGGCGGGTCCGCGGACTCGGTGGAGACGTTTTTCTTTCAGTCGGCGACCCCCCGAGTAAGTGGTTCGCGACCCCCCTAGGGGTCGCGACCCACAGTTTGAAAAACACTGCTTTAAATAAACAAAGCATGACGATACTTATTGACGATTAAAAATCATGTTTTATGGGGATGCAGATGTGTTTAATGTCAACTCGAGACACAAAAGTCGTTTCAGTCCAAATACAATCAATCCCTTACTTTCGAACTAACATTGAACAAACTTCCTTGGACGTAGGTTCTATTCCCGTGTGAAATCTACTTGTTTCGTTTGTGTTTAAAGAGGATCGCATGTTTGACGTCTGTCTGTGCCAATAATGGACGTTTAATTATTTGTTACGATTTTCCTGTATTTAGATTTTGGCGCTTTACCAAAAGCTTTTGTTTTCGAAAATATACTTATTGTGTTAAAAAGTATTGGCGTTGTCAAGATCAGTAACGTTCAGAAGTCATTTTGTAAATAAATCAAAGTCATTACGGATTTAGAAGAAATAACTTACGCAATATTGTATGGCCAAATGTGTAAGTAAGGGTTAATTCGTACATTTAGAATTTAATATCATCACCCACAATGATCATGATGTTGCTTGGTCCATGGATTCTCAAACAGATAAAAAACAAAGTGGCCGTTTACTTATTAGTTATCCCAGATACATAAAAGACAAACCATACAAGACACATACAGGTATATATTTAAACAAAACAGAAGCAAACACAGTAAATATACCAACACAATATTTAGCGGGAGATTCGCTTCGGAAGCTCGGAAATGCACCGAACGGGAGACGATAAGGGGTTATCAAAGAATATACGAGCCCACTCTAGCTGAAGATGTTGCGACGCAGAGTAAATTAACCGAGGAAAATTGTGTTTTAAGATTATGTTATAATAAAGGTGAAAGTTGTTTGTGATTGTTCGTTATTATATTGTTGATGTAGTACTGTTTGTATTGTTAGATTATCTGTATTGTAAATCATTCCATAAACATGAAGGAATTCTGGTGTAAGATCCAGAAGTTATCGATCAAAGGTTTTTTGTTCTATCATAAAGCATTCTTGGGTTTACTTCATCACTACAGACTTGGGACATGAACATGTATCCATCAGCACCTACATGTCACTCTGTACTTTCAGTGTGTGAAATAGTTTCTTTCTCTCTTTATTATGATTTGATGGTAAGCTCTCGTCTCTCACGGCTCAAGAATCAAATAGTTTTAATGTGGTATGTTACAGAAATTGACGATATCCTTTGATTTATAAACTGTAATGAATCAGAAATGTTTCCACCATATCAAAAGTGCCAGAAAATTCGGTATCATCCATGTACAGAGGAGTATAAATAAAGTGTAAAACTCAAATCCTCGGTGCAGACGGCAAAACTGAAACATCTTAGCATAATTAGCCAAAAAGGGGCCGTTTATAGCTAATATTAGTTGTAGGGATTAATACGAACGGGTTACAGAGCTGTGCAGTAACTGCTAACTGCTATTAGCATAAGTCACTTGGAATGCGATGTATTTAGTGCAGTTTTTGTTGGTTATTGCCCTGTTTTAATGGAGATTTTCTTTTTTATTTGATGTTTAATGATGTCGTCTTTGTTAGTTCGTTCATTCTTTGTTGTGAATGGTATTATCTAAGGCATTTGTAGAGTTTTGTAAACCATAGAACAATGACGCGATTACTGTAGCACGTCACATCGAATCTTCAATGATTTGTCGTTCAAAATCAGTAGTTTAATAAGATCACAGATCTGATTTCTTATTCGATATCAGACAATGGAGTTAATAACAATCTTCGCTAACATTAATGGTTTGCTTTCTGCTTCCCCTAACTGTATAAAAATTAAATCAATCCTCTAACCTACTTATCATAAACTTGGAAACAATTTTGATACTCGGTCGGCGCTCAATCGAAACGCTTAATTGAAAGTCATCGACTCGTATAATACTCGTCTTAGGGACGAAGCCACAGTAGGTATCGGTACGTATAAATTCTAATGCAGAAATCCAAAAACATTACAAAAGCCACCCCCTTGAAGCTCCCGTCTGGATGGTGGATGCGGGCAAATCTTCGAATTAATTTTACTGCCGAAATATGCAAATTTGGAGATATAGAAGCCTAATAACATGTACAAAAGAGTGGTGACTCCGAGCGCGAAACACTTAGATTATGTTGTGGTGGGTGTCTGTTTAGATTTTTGCCTAAGTTGGGCTCGCTTCTGAGAGGTTTCGTTCGGGGATTTGTTTTTTATTTTTCTATGAATTAATTTTAACTGGTTTTACATAAAAAAATTAAGTTTAAACCACTGCATTTCAAGCGCGAGTCTTCATGTATCTGTCAAAAGGTTTCACTAATCAAATTGGCTGTCTAATCATCAAATTTTATTGACTGTAACTTCTGAAAGAATTCTAATTAGTAACATCTTAACGTTGCTTCTACAACAGTGGCTGTGCAGTGCTTCAAAAGACAGTCCACTCTACAAGTTGTCATCCGGCTAATAATCTATGCCTTAATCGTTACCTCAGGCTAACATTATAGCCGCTTCGAGGAGCTTAATAGGTTACAAAATTTACCGTGATAGTAGAAAATACACGATGCTTACGTGCCAGCTTTCTCGGGAACTTATCAGGCTTTATTAGATTTCAGGTGTTTAGTTTCTTCACTAGACGCGGTTAAGCCTTCATTTTATAGTTGAAATTTGTTGCACTATATTGGCCTTTGTTTAAAACTTTGTTGGGCGCGGGTTTTATGGGGTGGAGGTTATTTGGCTATGTTGACTTGTTGTAGGGGTTTCGATGTTGTTATGGGAGCAGTAATTGCTTAAAGACGTTAATTGTACTGTGTATAGAAACTGTACACTGATCATGTAATTACCAACAAATGTCTTTTTATTCTTTCAATTGTACAACAATAAGCTTAACGGTGTGAAAAGACAAAAGAAATATTAGAAAATAGCCACTTACTTGCACAGTACAGTCTGGTTGCCGGAATCGAAGAGTCCACCTCGGCCCCACCTCGATGGCAGTTCAGCAATGGTGACACCTCGGGATCCCCAGACGCAGATACGACTTCCACAGCCACTGCTCATGATCCTCTCCACCTCGAACGCAGGTGGGAATAGGAAATGTAGTTTCTGGAAAGAGAAACGATATTGCAAATAAAGAAGGCCATTGTTGGATGTTCTTAATCTCTTAGAAGTAAATTATACTTTAAAATCTGACGTTAATATGGGAGAACACTATTTTATACCAAAAGCTTTATTCAAGACACAACAAATACTAATAATATTCTATAAGGTATATGTTCGGTTCGGGAATCTACGTTTTCAAAGGCAAAGAATATTGTGACAAGGAATAAGTAATAATAAGTATTCTTTTAGCGGTTAATGTATGTTTTAAGCATGCGTTACAAATTTTGCTTTAAAACAGCATCAACATTTTGCCTTAAACAAGCCATCAAGTGGAACAAGCAGTGCTGAGACTCGATCCCGATTCTATTTCACACTCCGCGATCAAGGCAACTTTTTCAATTTCCTTTAGAAATAAGCGTTGTGCGGACCGCGGGCGGCCGTCAAACGATAAATGATTATAACTATGACGTCAGGGGAAACGAGCCAAGGCGCCGGTGTAATGAGAAATAAGGCGAAAAAATCCGACGAAGCCAGGAAGCTGAGAACGCTTCCTACTTTATTTTTTCTTCTTTTTATTGATTAAAAAACTTTCCTAATCATATTTCTCCTTCGTCTCGGGAGATAGTTAGGTTATCGGCGCTGTTGTGGATTCCATGTTGATTGCTTTTGTTTTTCATATATTTGGGATTTCTATTTGACGTTGATTGATGTTGAAAATTGTTTTTTATTTAATTACGGCTGATATCAATGATTTATCTCAATCAAAAATCTGTAGATATGGACAAATACTTGGCATTAACCGCCATGAAGATGTCTCTGTACCAACGACTAATTATTGCACAATATTTGTTTAGTATCATAAAGTTTTAGGACACAATAAACCTAAATCAATGCGAAACGAAGCGCGCCATCCAAACCAGATATTAATAGTGTTATCGCGATACTAACTATTGCAGTTTCCACTACATTAACCGCCACGCAAACTTGCCAGGCACAGTCCCTGTTACAAACTGTTCAATGTACTATAATGGTCTATTAATATTCGGGTGGTCAAAGGATTGTCATTGGCGTTGAATTTCAATCTTTGTTCAGTTGATGGAGCGTGCTTTCTGTTTGCAGAAGTTGTGATTCTATGATATAACATAAGTTTAAAATGTTATAATCATAAATGCTTGTTTTAACATTAAGCATTATCATCCTGGCCATTGTGTAACTTTAAATATATCACAAATATACATAATAAACGAATAAATACAATGATAAACCACAGGAATATTTCTACGGCAAATACAATAGACGTTCACCCTCTTTAGCCATTATTTAAAACATTGAAAAACCCGAACGGCCACAGTGCATTAGCGGGTGATTATCGAAAAGAATCAAAGTGGGTTAACCCTACCGAACGGAACCCGGAACGTTTTGACCCACGCGGTAACGTAAAGTTGGAGTGCAAGTGTTAGCGGGTATAGTATATTATCTATGTATTCCTTAGGTAAATAATGTAAATGTGATAATTAAATTGTACCGATATAAGTAGAAGGTAAGGTAGAAATAAGAAACCAGATATAAATTTTAAAAGTTTTGTATAACTACATGTCTGAATATGAAGTCGGCTAAAAAGAAAGTAAAGAACCTCAGAAGACGCAAAACTAGGACTTGTAGTTTCAGTTTAATTAGGGTATGTACGACAAATGTAATAATAACAAAATACTATATGCCTCTGATATAAATTAAACCTAAACTATTATTACATTTATTACTACATTCGTTCAATTCCACACCGCTGAGTTAGACCTCCAGTTCTTCGCACCCAACAACGTTTTTGTATCACACTTTAGAATCAAACCACTAGATGCTTTCCTCAAAAATCACCCTTTGGCATGCTTACGCATTTCGCACTCCGTCAGTGGCACCCCACAGTGTGACCAACTCGCACGCTGCGGTCACAGCGGGGCGGGCATAAATTCAGACGACGAAAACCTCCGACAGTTCCGAAGCGTAGCCTACGCGACGCGATAATGGCTTCGAATTTCACGCCTAAAATATTGCCTGCACAGTTTTTTTTTAAAATGGTACATTTAAAACATGTCTTGAGCCAAAACGCAGGGTTTTAATCAAGATTTTAGAAGTTAATGGCCTTCAAATATCGTGATATTGCGAAATAACTGATCACTCTAAATCTTAACGATAACTAAAAAATATATACAAAAACATATACATACACTCACAAAATGTAAAATAAGAGCCAGGATTACGGTGGTTACGTATTAAAATTCCTGATAGGTACACACACAGCTAAGCCTCGTACAATTAAGCGAAGGTGGTCTAAAGGGGCACTGGGCGGCGGCAGCGGGGTTATTCGCCATATTTAATAAAATAATAATATTATGAGAAAAAAATTAAATTATTCAACCCGCGTACGTCCGTGTATCGCGATCGGTGTCCCAGGCAGATATGTATAAATTTTTTTTTTCGCCATTTCGTATTACGTGACCGAGGAGGCTCGCAAAGATTGCCAGTGCGGTGCATGTATTCAAATAATTGTTTGTGTTTTTTCATTTTAATTCTTTCACGGTTGGAATTTTAATGATGCGTTTGTATAAAAGATTGGAGGATGCTAAGCGTTTATATAAAATTTTCGCAGCAGGATTAAAAAGGAAAATCGCCTTTGTATTAAGAGCGGCGGTCAGTTTTTATAGGTGCGAGAATCGTGTTTTAGTTTATCTTTTTACAATTTTGTGTAAATCATTTACGTTGAATATGAAATAGGATTATACTACCACATTTTTTGTTAGAAAAGTTATGTTTTTAATAATCCATATTATTATTCTTAGTAATAGAAAACAATGTTTTTTCACAATCAAAATTATGTAAACATAAAACAAAACTGAACATTCCTAGACTGTATTTTTTATGGCAAACGAGGAGAAGGATCACCTGATGGTAAGAATGTTTTAAATAATACTTATAGGCATTTCCTGTAAAAATATGATTATGGAATTTACAAAAAACTTATAATAGTATTACTAAAACTAATAAACATAGAAAAGGACAATAATTACATGCCAATTAGAACTGTTAGAATATAAAAAGTTGGTGTCTCATTTTAACACATTCAACTGCACCTTTGGTAACCCCTTTATGGAATAAAGAGACTTCTCGTTACACAACAAACACAAACCTCTATTTCACTTTCATCCCAAACCCAATTTTTTACCTACGACGGAAAATTCCCAACTCTTGCACTAACAACCTATTAGGGTAGTGCCATTATTAAAAGGATGCACCCTAACTTCGTCCATAAACCGATCCGAGTTCGCCGTTAGTTACTATGAATTAAATACTGTAAGTCGACACGTTATTAAAGTCTGTTCCGCTACCCGACGCTAGATGGCGCTAGGTGTTGTAAAGTGGTATAAGGAAAATTGTTGGAACTTATGTTGGGTTGGATTTTTGGTATTTGATTCTATACCTTCAACAGATTGAAGGTATAGAATATTCTGATTACACCATGATAATTTTTAGTCCAATGGGTTTTTAATTTTAAGTATACTTTAGCCATGTGTTCGAATATGTCAAGTTTATCAACTAATATCTATCTATAGCATAGCATAAATAGAAAAACTTAAAAATAAAACATTTTGTACGAGTGAAGGTTCCGACTTTTTGTGCACGGCTACGATTGCTACGACGTAGATTTCGTAGCATTTCTCGTAGCGGCTACAGAAAATCGTAGCACCTACGTAGCAACTCTTCAAAATATTGGACCGAAATATTGTTCAAAGCAATTTTTCATTGAAACAGTATAATTATTTAACTAGTAAATAAAAAGGCTACCTTTGTGAACATCCACAAACTACAAAATGACCCTTGACATTAGACTAACGGCTTTCAGCTTCAAAGTAACTTTGTACCTAAAGTTTTTCAATCCTCATTACACTACTGGAAGCAAGCAAGGCTGTGACGCTCCTAGGAGAAAAAGATGTCAAGATAGATTTAATTAGAGCAGTTCTATAGGACGGACGATCTAAACAGCCATTGGTTGGTTAAGGAAGTGGGAGCACGTCATTAAGGATAGGCCTTGTAAGGCTTATAAAGGGCAGCTAAAGGTAGGAATAGTTTAATAGATTATTAAAGTACCTTCATATCGCAAGTTTTAAGTCTCTGAAACGTGGATTCATAAAGCGCACCTTTATAAAAATGACAAAGGAAAAATTCGCAACCCCCATTAGCGGCATCTTCCCAAGTTCTAAGGTCCACCTGTCCTAAAAACACCAGGGTACGACATCGAACCGCGAATAGTTACAAAACTCCCGACATAAATCAGCCAACTCCGGCGTAACGTACTCTCTTCAGGACCATTAGCATTTTTTATGCATAGGAATCGATCCAGCGACCGGCTAATGCCTCCCACGATACATTAATATCTTAGTTTTTATGACTCTTCTGCAACAATTCGTCTCGTATCGTGGTATATAACCACCTTCACTTTGACATGGGAATTCCAACTTTGGAGCCAATCTTTAAGGTGTGAATTTCTTTGTCGATGTTACGACGGCATGTGGATTTGCTCGCGGATTAAGTCGCGTTTACAGTTTAGCTCAAAAGTTACGCTATAATTGTGAAGTGTACAAATATTTCGACTAAGATTGGATTAAGGTGAGTTTGAGGCGGTTACTTTAAGATGCGACGGCGTTTTTTAGAACATTTTGTTATTAATTGTAAGTCAATTAACAAATTAATGGTCAACAGACCATTTTGACTTATCAGTAACGTATGATAGCTATTTTGATCTTTTAATTATCTATCACAAAGTACATATGAATTAGCAGTAGTTTTGAAAGTTATCAGGGATGCCTTAATTCAAAAAGTTATAAAACAATGGCTGACATACACAATACCGTAAAATAACTACAGAGAAAATGTTTTATTACTACCAAACTAAAAAGAAGCAAAAGTTCATGAACACACCTTTATCAGAATCCGAGTTGATAATAGGTGGA